CTTATCAGGTGCTAAGATAAATGACTCCTCTGCTTCCACATGACACTAAGATATGAGGCATTCTTCTGGTTCATAAAAGGGATTTTTTAAACAACATTTTAATTGTTCTGAGGGGCAAAACGTAACACGTAGCACGAAAGAAGAATTTCTCAAATAAAAGGAGAAGCATGATAAATGGTATGTATTTAGGATGCACTCACTCGAGGGGGAGCAGGATGCTGGGGGCTCGCATCTCAAGGGACGCCGAGAAGCGCAGAGCCATGAAGGAATCAGACGGGACTGGCCTGACGCTCAGTGCGGCTTGCTTCGCGCAGCCTCCGAGAAGGCACCAGGCCCTTGCTTCTTTGTAAAAACCAGGGTCACAGCGCCGGCCCGTGCAGGGCTGCCGTGAGGATCGGGAATGAGGAGCGGTCAGGGCATGGCAGGCCCCGGAGGGGTGGGAGCCATCATCCCACAGTCACGGCTACATCCAGATGCTGCGATGCTTCTGGACATCGGGGTGCAGTCGGGTCCCCCGAACGCGATGTGGGAAGAATTAACACAGCGTTTCATTCGTGCTCAGAGACACCCAAGGCAGAACTACAGCCTGAACACACGAGCTAGATGTAAGTGGTGGATGTGAGTTACTTGCTGGTGACACGTGACAAAGCGGCCGATGCCACACACGCGGGACGAGGACGATGTCTGCGCTCCCCTTGCACTGAGACGGAAGTCAGCCAGGCTCGTAGACAACGGGTCTACTGTGAACTTAACCCCCAACCACGATCCTTGCCCTCCTGAGAACACGCGTGAGCAACAGCAGCCTCTAGGCGCTGGCTCCTTGCTGCTGTTCTCAGGACGGGTGAGGACCAGTTTCCGTGGTGGGAAAGGAGTCATTTTTACTTTAATTTTTTTTCTTTAATGTTTATTCATTTTAAAAAAATATTTTAACATTTATTCATTTTTGAGAGAGAGTGTGAGTCGAGCGGGGGAGGGGCAGAGAGCGAGGGAGACACAGAATCCGAAGCAGCTCCAGGCTCTGAGCTGTCAGCACAGAGCCCGACGTGGGGCTCGAACCCACAAACCGTGAGATCATAACCTGAGCCGAAGTCATGATGCTTAACTGACTGAGCCACCCAGGTGCCCCCAGAAAGGAGTTATTTTTAAAACACAAATTTCTTCTGCTTGTTACTCCAAAGACCATTTAGAAACCAATTAAAAGTATAAAGGAGAAAAAATAAATCACAGTCCTACCACTCAGGAAAAAACAGTCAATGGTAACCCTTGGTATACTTCCTTCCAGTCTTTTTGCATGGATTTTTGCCCATTAACTTGAATTATACGGTATATACAGTTTTCTACCTTGCTTGTGACTCTAACGTAATGCACAGGTCCTCAGCCTGTCGTTACCAGTAACACGAACTTTATAAAAGAGGACACAGTGTTCGATCATACAGAGCACCACAGTTTTCTGCCCCAGAGCTCACACTTCCTCTGCTCCTTTCTATCCAAGTGATCTCCAATATGCACGTCATTGCCATGAACTCCTTTATTCATGAAGCACTTTTCTGTGTTTATACTCACAACAGCAATATATTAAGGGGGGCGGGGGGGCTTCTCACTGCATTCGGTTAGTTAGCAGTGAGTACGGTCCTCACGCCAACCACAGCACTGCAAAAACTTTAATATTACCAAGAACTTTTAAAATACGTGCCTTCACAAACTATTACATTCTCTTTTCTCCAGTAGAGTGTAACCCAGGCTCAGCAAAATGAAAACATACCAAGTCTCCGCACCGAAAGTAAATCTAACATAAACGAGGCAAACTTTGCGGGCTGAGGTTGTCCATGGTTCAGGTGCAGGACAGGGCAACCAGTTGTCAATACTTAAAAAAAATACCAAAGGCAAAAGAAAACAAGAATAACAACGTTCGGGGGGGGGGCGGGGCTTAGGTGGAAACTGAGTCATTCCTAAGCCAGGGCGCTATCCCGGGGTAAAAATCTCTGAGACCTAGAGAACGTTGCCAGGGAAAAGTGGTCGGAGTCCCAGCCCCCTCCTCTTTAAACTCTACATCCACAGGCCCAGCATTGGACGGCTTGGCCACAATCTTCCTCACTGTCAGGAAGCCGTGAACTTGATCTGCTAGTGAATTATCTTCCTGAGATTGCAGTTCTCACTGTAATGCTGGGGAAGCCCTACGAAGACTAATATAGTAAGTCAAAGCTCAGAGATCATGGCAACTTTCTTCAAATAAAGTGAAGTGCTCTCACGGAAAGGGATTCGAATCATGATATATGGCCTCACAGGCACCCCTGGGGCTACTGTGTGGATCCTGCCGTCTACCCATCGGGGGGACTGTGGCACAGCCATTCCCGTCACTGGGAGAACAGCACAAAGGTATGTGCTCAAAGCTCCGAACGTTGACCCCTAAGCTTCTGACAACTGACCCTGGGGGGGAAACATCACTTAATACTTAAAAAGTAGAACGGCTAGTGTCCTGTCTACTTCAAGTCTAGGTGAGGATGGCAAGCCGAAATAATGTGAGGGGGTAGGCAGAGCGTGGCCTTTTACAGCCAGAGGAGGTTTGGCTCACGTCCATCTTGTCTGAAAGTTCCCTCCACTGCACCACGGCTGCTGCGTGCCAGGTACCCAGCTACAGGTGCATCGGTACCGACACGGCGCTCTCCGGAGGGAAAGCAGCGACCCACAGCCTCTGATGGGCCCACCTCCCCACCTCCCCATCTCCCCACCTCCACCTCCACTGTCTTGTAACTCATGCTTACAAGGAGGTGGGAGAGCAGTGACCCATTCAGTTCAGGGGATGCCACCCCCGTCACCAGCTTTCTTATGACCTTTGTTCTATTTCTTGGTGTCATTCTCTGGCTGTTATGCTGTGATTTACTTTTACTTATGAAAAGAATATTATAAAGAAACATCAGATCTCACACTGAAAAGAAACTATTCTCTCAGAGGAAGTTTCAGAAAAACCAAACTTGACTCCTAATCAAGAAAAGAAAACCCTCGGGCAGGCCTCTTACATGATTTTTTTCCCCTAATTTTTTTTTTAAAAATAGACGTTTTGGAAGTCTGAAGTTTTATATCAAGCAACGTCTTCGAATGTGCCCTTTAGGGTACAGTAGTCATCAGATTTATTTTTGGAAAGCTGAGTAGGTCAAGAATACCTAAAATAACCTGGTTTCTATTTAAACTTCCCTAATCACTTTGTAACTTAGAAGGAGAAACACAGCACTTAAAAAGATTATTCGAGGGGTGCCTGGGTGGCTCAGTGGGTTAAGCATTGACTTGGGCTCAGGTCATGATCCCACAGCTCATGAGTTCAAGCCCTGTGTCGGGCTCTATGCTGACAGCTCAGAGCCTGGAGCTGCTTCAGATTCTGCGTCTCCTGCTCTCTCTGCCCCTCCCCCACTCACACTCTGTCTCTGTCTGTCTCTCTCTCTCTCAAACATAAACATTAAAAAAAAGATTCTTTGAGATGTGTGCGTGTATGGTATCAGTTGGTGGCTACACTTGAGGTGAGCAGGGTGTAAGGTATAGATTGTATACCTGAAACTAACATTGTAATGTCAGGTGTCGATTCTGCTCAGATAAAAAAAATTACAGAAAATATGTCAACGTTGTCCAGTAAGTATATCTCAACATGGAGCTGGTGATGGTAACCCTGAAGGGAGAAGAAGTAGATTTCTTCCTACAGACATGTGAAAATGCAGCCAAGGACTTGAGAGAAAAGTAGCATATGCGACATCAGACAGTACCCTCTCCTGAATCCGGAAAAACATGGAAAGTGTGAAATAATTTGTTAAATCCAAACAAACAAATAAACCAAGCTAATTTTAAAGGGACATTTACACAGCAGTGTGATCTCAAATGTTTTAACCAAAGGAATTTCACAGCCAGGATGAATTCTGCTTCTAAAGTTATAGCCACAAGGTACGGGGATCTGGTAAAAGATGAGCAACATCTATGGGTTGAAAGTGGACATCAGGCAACTGTGTACGGCTAGCAGGAAGCTTTTAGGGGACGTCGTACTTCCCAAATTTTAAGAGGAGGGTCACTACAAAGTTACTTCAAACACAAATATTTCTTTCTTATGTTTCACTCATGGATGTCACAGGGAAATGAAATGATGATTTAAATTTGCCAGAAACCAGGGGCGCCTGGGTGGCTCAGTCAGTTAAGCATCTGACTTCGGCTCAGGTCATGATCTTAAAATTTGTGAGTTCAAGCCCCACGTCAGGCTCTGTGCTAACAGCTCAGATCCGGAGCCTGCTTCAGATTCCGTGTCTCCCTCTCTCTCTGCCCCTCCCTCACTCATGCTCTGTCTCTCTCCATCTCTCAAAAATGAATAAACATTTAAAAAATACAAAAATAAAAAAAATTGCCAGAAATCCACGAGGTACAGACACTGTAGCCGGCCACGCTCTCCTGGACAGCAGAGCGGGAGGCTCAAAGGACACAGGAGGCTGTGCCCAGGAGCGTACTGGCTTGCGGGTTCTGAGCTCCTCAGGGAAAGGCCTGCCCTCCGGGGCCCCCAGCCCGGTCAGAGCTTCGCTGTGGCGTCGGATCATTATCTGGTGGCTGTGCCGAACTGAACAGTAGCACAGAAGCTGAGTACAGAGAAAGAGAGAGAAGGAGAACAGTCTGAAAGTTTCTGGGTGGAGCAGACTCCGAGGTGCCCAGAGGGGGTTTCCTTATTCTGGGCTCTGCCTTGCAAGATAAATGTTTGTTCTCAGAGGTGCGTCGCGGACGGTCCCTGCTGGACTCCACAAGCGGGTACCGGCCACCTACACGTGCACACCCCAGCTAACAACTCACTGGTGCCAAGCCCAAGCAACAACAAAACCCGTCCCGCCTCGTGTGGTGGTTTGGACAACGCTGAGGGCCGTTCCCTGCTTTTCTGAGGTCCCCGTCTCCGTCGCTGTTGAAGACAGCCGGCATCCGCCAGGCTAAGCAGCCTCAGCGACACCGAGTCTCCCGCCGCCCCGTGTGTCTCCAGCACCCACCTTTGGTAGGTCCTTTCCTGCTCAGCACAGCCTGCTGCTCCTCGGTGATGTTCAGCCGCCGAACGACGTCGGCCAGCGCCGACTTGAGCAGCTGGATGTCATCCTCTTGCATCTGGACGCGCTGCTCCAGGGAGGCGATGCGGTCCGTCACCTCCATGCTACTTGCAGCAGAAGCGCTGTCATCTAAACCAAAGGAGAGGGACACGTGACTCGACTGCCTCCTGGAGAGGCGGGACCCCCCCCCACCCCCCACCCCACGCGCCCGGAGCGCATTGCTGGGACACGGTAAGATTTACGTGCCGAAGGCGACCGCCCTCACAGAGGCCACGGGGCGGGCCGAGCTACACAGACGACAATGTCTCCTTCTGCTCTAGTCCTGAGTCATTCTGTTCGTGCTTTTCATTTCCTTTTAGCTGAGGTCTGAATTGCTATTATATTATTCTAGATACAGGCCAACGCACCTTCCTTCCCATGACGTCAGGGATGTCAGAGGTAGAGGAGGGGCCAGCGTGCATCTCCCCACACGTGGCAGAAATCCACACAGCCCCTGTCACCATCTCATCTCACTCTTGTTCTGACCACGCTGGCTGATGGGTTGGCCAGATAGTCACAACACGACACTGCCTCCTGATACCAAGGTTACACTGTATGTTAACTAATTCGAATTTATTTTTTAATGTTCATTTATGAGAGAGAGAGAGACAGAGCTTGAGCGGGGAGGAGCAGAGAGAGAGGGAGACACAGAATCTGAAGCAGGTTCCAGGCTCTGAGCTGTCAGCACAGAGCCTGACGTGGGGCTCAAGTCCATGGGCCGTGAGATCATGACCTGAGCCAAAGTCAGACGCATAACTGAATGGGCCACCCAGGCGCCCCATCTAACTGGAATTTAAATAAAAATCTGAAGAAAAAAAAAAGCAGCTTCGGGTGCCCCACTGGCTCAGTTGGTTAAGTGTCTGACTCTTGGTTTTGGCTCAGGTCAGGATCTCACAGTTGGTGAGTTCGAACCCCACATCAGGCTCTGCGCTGACAGCAGGGAACCTGCTTGGGATTCTCTCTCTCTCATTCTCTCTCTGCCCCCAACCCCACTCACATTCTCTCTCTCTCACAATAAATAAATAAACGTAAAAAATGATTTCACTCTGTCTCCTGATACCTGATAATAGTTAAAGTTACAACCATTGGCATAATGTATTATCTTTCCCACGTAAAACAACCTTAACACAGCACTTCTCAGATGCTGTGGCCTCAGGACGCCTTTAAATTAGCAACAATTTCTGAGGACCACAAATGACTTTTGTTTGTGTGCATTGTGTCTATGAATTTCTACTGTCCTGAAAATTAAAACAGGCATTTTATAAATATGAAAGCATGACTTAGCTAAAAATAACAGAAGTGTCACATATTAAAAACCCATTTTTTATGGAAAAACTGCTGTTTTTAAAAACAAAAATAATTTTGTGAAAGGATCAACGTCTTTGACTATTTAAAAATTTTCTTTCATGTCTGACTTACTGGAAAAGAATCGGATTTGTTTATGTATTCAGTCTGCTGTGATATGTTATTTTGGTTGATATATACGAAGAAAATTTGGCCTCACGCTGACATGCAGTGGGGAAAGGAAGAAGTATTTTAATAGCGTTTTCAGATCATTATGGATAATCTTTGTTATTCAATCAAAACACGATAGATGGTAATGTTATAAAAGTTACCAGCAATGCAGAATCTAAGACCATATAAATAAAATGTTTTACTTCATTAAAGAAACAGAACAGAACAGAACAAGACTACCCCATTAAAGAAACAGAACAGAACAGAACAAGACTACCCCATCTATCAGTCATGCCTGTTAAGGGCCGGCTACTCTAACAGGATCTGGGAAGCACCCTCACCTGGATGGCAATCCCTGTCTCTTGTATGGAGCCGTTAGTCGCCAGTTTCTCATCAAGACCTCCCATGTCCCAGAAGCTTTCCTGGCCTCTGCAAACCCATTTCACGTCATTCCTTCTCTCACTTCGTGCTTCAGCCACACCGACCTCTCTCTCTTTGGTATCTGCTGTTGCCTTTGCTTATGACATTTCTCACCAAGCTTTTTCGCTTGTTCTTTCTTCCGTTCTTAGCTCAAACGGAGCTCTTCAGAGAAACTTCCTAGCAACCTTACCCAAGGCTGGTGCTCCGATCACATCAACCCCACTTATTTCTTTCATAGCATCACGTGCTCTGTTTCCTCATCTTCGGTCTCCCAACTAAAACATAAGCACCACGGAGTTGTGCCTGTTTCCAGGTAGGACGGACCCCCTGTGGACAGCACCTTCCTGCGGAAGGCAATTTTAAGCCTGAAAATTATACAAAAAGCACCTACTTGAAGGTACTAGAGAGGAGATACAGGTATATAAACTCTGGTGCGACTTTACACTCACTTGGAGAAATATACAAGAAAACTCCTTTTCCATGGCTTTTAGCCAGAGCTAAGCGGTACACACAGTGGGGGTGAGGATACACGGGGAAACCCCCCAGCCATTTTGTCCTAAGAAAGCCAAGACGAGATGTCCAAAAACTTTGAACACTGAAGAGAGTGGGGGACATCCCAGAAGGGAAGAAGCCAGAGGGGGGATTCCCAAACTCTGTCTATCCCATGTCTGGCTGACCTGCAATCACATCCGTATTGAACAGACTCAATGCTACAGCTAACATCAGAAGATCAGAACTGAGATCGGAGGCACTGCCCAAGAAGCAGTCTGCAGTTCAAGTCCAGCCAAGAAAAACAGCCACTAAGACAAAGGAAAGAACACTTCTTAGAGGAAAATCATAGAATATAAAAATCCCCACCACTTAAGATTCATAATGTCTGGGATATAATCCAAAATTACTTAACATACTTAAGAATCCAGAAGTAGAACACATTCTCAAGAGAAAAGAAAATAAATGGAGTCCAACTCCAAAATGAGCAAAATATTGGAACCGATAAGGAAAATGAGGTATTTCCAGTGAATGAAAAATTTCAGTGGAGAAGTGGGAAGTCCCAGCAGAGAAACAGAAATAAAAATGGGTGGCTCAGTCGGTTAAGTGTCCAACTTCAGCTCAGGTCATGATCTCACGGTTTGTCGGTTCGAGCCCCGTGTCAGGCTCTGTGCTGACAGCTAGCTCAGAGCCTGGAGCCTGTCTTTGGATTCTGTATCTCCCTCTCTCTCTGACCCTCCCCTGCTCACGCTGTCTCTCTCTCTCTCTCAAAACTAAATAAAACATTAAAAAGGTTAAAAAAATTAAAAAATGAACCAAATGGAAATTCCAGAACCAAAGAACACATTTTCTGAAATAAAGAATTCACTGAACGTGTGCAGCTGCATGGACGTGATGGAGGAAAGACATGTAAACCTGAGGATGGAGCAAGAGCAAGTATTCAGGGTGAAGAAACACGGAGACAAGAATTGGGGGGAAAAAAAATTAACCAAGTCCCTTGGGGATTTGTTAGATGATCTCAAACAGTCCAACATACACTAAATTGGAAGATAAAAAGAAAGAGGTCAAGGCAGAAAAAAAATCTGAAACATAAAGCCCCCCTTCCCCTAAATCCTAAATTGGATGAAGGACAGATACAGAAAACAACACAATGTCTAACAGATAACAAGCAAAATAAACACAAAGAAACCCACCTCAATGTGTATCATAATGAAACTGCTCATAACCAGGTTAAGTGCACATATCGAAAGCGGGAAGACTGGAAGAGAATACAACATCTCTAAAGTATGGAATCAAAAAATCCAATCCAGAATTCTAAATTCAGCAAAAATAGCCTCTAAGAGTGAAAGTTAAAAAAAAAAACAACAACAACAACAAAACAAACAACAACAACAAAGGCATTTTCAGATAAATGAAAACTGAAAGAATTCATTGCCAGCAGATCTATGTTACAAGAAGTACCACAGCAAGTTCTTCAGGGTAAAGGGAGATTACAGAAGATGGAAACTCAGACACTCAAGAAAGAATGAAAATCACTGAAAGTGATAAACATCTGAATGAGTTCAAGGCTTTTTTTTCTTTTTGCAGTTTCCTGTTAATGTTCTTAAAAACCTTTAAACCTTTAAAGATGAAAATTATAACATGGCTAAGATTTATAGGTGTGTGCATGTAATACATATAACTACCATAACATAATGGATGGGGAATATATGGATCTATAAGATTTTGATATTTTACATAAGATTTTAATACTGTACATTATTAACTGTAAGGGACCTGTGAAAAGTTAAATATTGTAATCCCCAGGGAACTACTAAAGAATAATGCAAATAAGTATGGGTTAAAAACAATTACATTGAAATTTTGTATTCAAATACTCCAAAGGAGAAAAAAAAGGGAGAGAGAAACAAAAAGTAGACAAATAGAAAAAAAGGTAAAATGATAAACCCAAACCTAATATAGCGATAGTTACATTAAATATTATATTAATGCAATAATTTCATTAAACACATCAATTAAAAGTCCAAGAATGTGAGGGGAAAAAAGCCAGACCCAACTATATGGTATCTACAAGATACACACTTTAAATACAAAGAAACAGATGGGCTGAAAATAAATAAATGGAGAAAAAGACATAGCATGCAAACAGTAAGCATAAGGAAGCTAGAGGGGACCTCGAGAAAGTCAGGATAGAAGGAACTTACTTAAACATCATAAAAGCCACCTATAAGAAGCCCTCAGCTAACATCATCCTCAACGGGGAAAACTGAGAGCTTTCCCCCTGAGATCAGGAACACGACAGGGATGTCCACTCTCACCACTGCTGTTTAACATAGTGCGGGAAGTCCCAGCGTCAGCAATCAGACAACAAAAGGAAATCAAAGGATTCAGAATTGGCAAAGAGGAAGTCAAACTTTCACTTTTTGCAGATGACGTGAAACTCTACATAGAAAACCCGACAGACTCCACCAAAAGCCTACTAGAACTGATCCAGGAATTCAGCAAAGTTGCAGGATACAAAATCAGTAACAGAAATCGGTTGCATTTTTATACACCAACAATGAAGCAACAGAAAGAGAAATCAAGAAATGGATCCCATTCACAATTGCACAAAAAAAACCATAAAATACCTAGGAATAAACCTAACCAAAGATATATGAGATCTTTATGATGAAAACTATAGAAAACTTATGAAGGAAATTGGAGAAGACACAAAGAAATGGAAA